AGAACCTCCAACTGTCAACCAGGAAGAGATCCTGAAGCCCAGGTGGTAGACCAGGCAAACAACAACACTTGGACCCCCAAGTGCCTCAGTGAGGGCGGGGGAAGCTGGTGGGAACCAGCTCAGAAAACCACCAAGTGCCTTGGCACTCTACCACAAAGGAATCTCCCAGTGCATTAGCAGAAACCAGGGAGGCAGCATTGCAAGGAGCCCCAGGCAGATAAACACCCTGCAGCACCCATCTAAAAGGAGCTGAAGAAAGCTAAAGGAAAGGAAAAGCAGGCAACCTAGAATTGCCTGAAAGTTCCAGCCTTGCTGATTCCAGCCCAACACAAGGTAAGCTGCCAGAACTCTACAGTCTGCAATTGCCAACATAAGAGGCCCCAGCACACAAAGCCAGTGACCAACACCTAGGCTCCCAACATAAGAAGCTTGGGTCAGTGCCCTCTGTTCCACAGCAGGAGAGCTCAATCTCTTTAAAGGTCAGGGAATAAAGAAACACCATGAGTAAAAAGAAACGTACCATAGATTCATATTATGAGAAGAGTGAAGATCAAGACAGAAATTCTAAAGAGGACAACATTGTCAACAAACTCACATCTGCAACATCAAAAGGGAATATGAACTGGTCTGAAGCCCAAAAAGCCTTCTTAGAAGAGCTCAAGAAGGACTTTAAAAGTCTAATGAGAGAGGTAGAAGAGCCCTTCAAAAATACAATTGGCTGAGGAGAAGAATGCCCTAAAAAGAAAAATTGGCCAAATGTAAAAGGAAGTCCAAAAACTTACTGAAGAAAATACTTACTTAAAAATTAGAATAGAGCAATTGGAAGATAGTGACTTTATGAGAAATCACGACACAGTAGAACAAATCCAAAAGAATGAAAAATTAGAAAACAATGTGAAATATCTCATTGGAAAAACAACTGACCTGGAAAACCGATCCAGGAGAGAGAATTTAAAAATTGTTGGACTATCTGAAAGCCATGATCAAAAAAAGAGCCTAGACATCATCTTTCAAGAAACTATCAAGGAAAACTGCCCTGATATAGTAGAACCAGAGGGCAAAATAGAAATTGAAAGAATCCACAGATCTCCTCCTGAAAGAGATCCCCAAAGGAAAACTCCTAGGAATATTATAGCCAAATTCCAGAGTTCCCAGGTCAAGGAGAAAATATTACAAGCTGCCAGAAGGAAACAGTTCAAGTACTGTGGAAACACAATCAGGATAACACAAGATTTAGCAGCTTCTACATTAAAGGGCCACAGGGCATGGAATATAATATTCCGGAGGGCAAAGGAGATAGGATTACAACCAAGAATCACCTACCCAGCAAAACTGAGTATAATCCTTCAGGGGAAAAAAATGGTCATTCAGTGAAATAGAGGACTTTCAAGCATTCTTGATGAAAAGACCAGAGCTGAATAGAAAATTTGACTTTCAAATACAGGACTCCAGTGGAACATGAAGAGGTAAACAGGAAAGAGAAATCATAAGAGACTTATTAAAATTGAACTGTTTACATTCCTGCATGGAAAGATGATATTTATAACTCATGAGACCTTTGTCAGTATTAGGGTAGTTGGAGGAAAAAAATTATATGTATGTATATATAGATAGATAGATAGAGGGCACAGGGTGAGTTGAAGATTAAGGGGTCATATCTGGAGAATAAAATTAAGGGATGAGAGAGATTATACTCAGAGAAGAAGAAAGGGAGAGGTAGAATGGGGTAAATTATCTCACAAAAAAACCCAAAAAAAACAGAAAAAGTCTCTTACAGTGGAGGGGAAAGGGGAAGGTGAGAGGGAATGAGTAATCTTATTCTCATAGGATTTGGCTTAAGGAGGGAATAACATACACATTCAATTGGTATGGAAATCTGTCTTACCCTACAGGAAAATAGGGGGAGAAGGGGACAAGAGAGCAGGGGGATGATAGAGAGGAGGGCAGATTGGGAAAGGGGGTAATCAGAAGTAAATACTTCTGAGGAGGGACAGGGTCAAAAGAAAGAATAGAATAAATGGGAGGGCAGGATAGGATTAAGGGAAATAGAGTTAGTTTTTCACAACATGTCTACTATGGATGTGTTTTGCATAACTGCACATGTATAACCTATATTGAGTTGCTTGCCTTTTCAATGAGGGTGGGTGGGGAGGGAGGAAGAGAGATAATTTGAAACCTAAAGTTTTAAAAACATATGTTTAAAAAAAATGTTGTCACATGCTACTGGGAAATAAGAAATACAGGAAATGGGGTACAGAAGTCTATCCTGCCCTATAGCAAAATAGAAGGGGAAGGGGATAAGAGAAGGGGAGAGAGATAGAAGAGAGGACAGACTAGGGGAAGGGATATTCAGAATGCATGCCATCTTGGGTGGGGGAGGGGGAGATGGGGTGAACATTTGGAATTCAAAAACTTGTGGGAGTGAATGTTGAAAACTAAAAATAAATAAATTTATAAAAAAAATTTAAAAATCAAATAAAAACAAAATCAAACAAACAAACAATAAAAAATAAATAAATAAACAGCAAAAACACAATTGGCAAATTGGAAAAAAAGTACACTGAAGAAAACAAGTCCCTAAGAAACACAATTGGCAAACTGGAAAAAAAGTACACTGAAGAAAACAAATCCTTAAAAATACAATTGGCCAATGAAGAAGGAAGTACAAAAACTAACAGAAGAAAACAATCTGTTAAAAACTAGAATTGGACAAATGGAAACTAATGACTCTATGAGACAGCAAGAATCAGTCAAACAGAAACCAAAAAATGAAAAAAGGGATGAAAACACAAAATACCTCATCGGTAAAACAACCAACCTGAAAAATCGATCCGGGAGAGACAATTTAAAAATCATTGGACTACCTGAAAATCATGATGAAAAAAAGAGCCTGGACAGTATCTTTCAGGAAATCATAAAGGAAAACTGTCCTGAAGTCCTAGAACCAGAAGGTAAAATAACCATAGAAAGAATACACCGCTCACCACCTGGAAGAGATCCCAAATTGACAACACCAAGGAGTATAATAGCAAAATTCCAAAATTACCAGATAAAAGAAAAGGTGTTGCAAGCAGCCAGAAGAAACAATTTAAATATCATGGAACCACAGTGAGGATTACACAGGACCTTGCAGCTTCTACATTAAAAGACAGCAGGGTGTGGAACATGATGTTCTAAAAGGCAAAGGAGCTTGGACTGCAACCAAGGATCAACTACCCTGCAAAAATGAGCATGATTCTTCAAGGGAGGAGATGGATATTCAACGAAATAGGAGACTTCCAAACCTTCCTCATAAAAAGACCGGAGCTCAACAAAAAATTTGATCTTCAAGTACAAGATTCAAGAAAGACATAAAAAGGTAAATGAGACAGAAAGATACAAAATGTTGTTAATAAGGGCAGACTGTTTACATCCCTACAAGGGAAGATAACACTTGCAACTCTTGAGAACTGTGTTGTCATTACACCATGTTAAAACAGTATACATAAAGGGGGACTTTGATGTAATGATTTTTTAAAAAATCTAATCAAGTGGGTTAAATAGATCCAAGTAAGTGGATTAGTCTGATCTTAGAAAATGTACTTGGAAAGGAGGAGGCAGACATGGGTAAATTACATTATAGGAAAAGACAGAAAATCCTATTACAGCAGAGGGAAAGAAGGGAGGGGGTGAGCATTGTTTGAACCTCGCTCTCATCAGATTTGGCTCAAGAAGGGAATAACATAATCAGTTAGGTATGGAAATCTAACTTACCCTATGGACAGAAGGAGGGAAAAGGGGAAAGAAAAGGGAGGGGGGATAGAAGGGAGGGAAGAAGAGGTGGGGGCAAAGGGGAAGAGGGGGAAGGGGGATAACAGAAAGGAGGAAAGACTGAAGGAGGCAGTGGTCAAAAGCAAAGTACTGGTGGGGGGGAAGGGAGAGAGGAGAAAGAAAAGCATAAACAGGGGGAAAAAAGGATGGAGAAAAAGACACAGTAATCATAACATGGAAGTTGAATTGCTATCTTTTTTTTCCCTCTTCTGTTGAGTTTTGTTTCCTCTTTCTGATGGTTCCTCCTATTGGTTTTAATTTTTACTTATAACTTCACTAATGTGAAAATATGTTTAATAGGAATGTAAATGTATAGCCTATATCACATTGTGCACTGTCTTGGGAAGGGTGGTGGGGCGGAAGGGGGAGAAAAATTCTAAACTCAAAAGCATATGGAAGTAATTGTTGATAAATCAAAATAAATTAATAAAATATGTGAAAACATTTATTGTATCATAATAAATAACGAAAAGCTTTCAGAGAAACCTGAGAAGAGCTTCCCTTGTATCCTTAGCACTTAGCCCAGTGCACGGCACATAATAGGCTCTTCATAAAGGTTTATGGACTGACTGATGAGCAAAGTGAGCAGAATCATGAGAGCAATTTATATTTGAACAATATGGCAAGCCAACTTTGGAATGCTTGTGAGTTCTGATCAATGCAGGGATCGATGGGCATTCTACCCACCTCTGATAGAGACAAGATGATTTTGAAATGCAAAATGAGACATAGGGTTTTAAATACTGTTGATGCTGGGATTTGTTTTGCTTGACTAAGCATATTTGTTATGAGGGTTTGTTTTTCTTTTTTATTTAAATTGTTTTTGAAGATTTGTGGGAATGAGAGAAAATAAATCCTTGTTAATTGGGGGAAATCAGATGAAGATGAAAAAAAAGAGTGTGAGAAGACAAACCAGTAATTGCCTCCAATTTATCCTGTGTATACATTCTGTTTGTCCCTCATTGTTCGCATGTGATCTCCTCCATTAGACTGTGAACTCCATCAGGGCAGGGACTATGCTTTCCTCTCTTTGCATCACATAGTAGGTGCTTATAAATGCTTGTTGACTTGGTTCAATGAAATCTCTACCTGGGATTGGGGGATCAGATGCTTATTTTTCCGCCCAATGCCCTTGAAGTTTGAACTCTTCCTGCACTGCCATGCAAGCTAGTGGCCATTGACTCTGGTAATCAGAAACCCTGGGTCCCTATGCTTGAGAAACTTCCTGCCACACGTGTGAGCACAAGTAAAGTCCACCCAAGCCTCTTGCTTCTGGAGTAGCATGTAAGAAGAAAGCTGTGCTCCATCCTTGGAACGGAGATGAAAACTACAAACTGAGATCAGTGGGAGCTTCGTGGCCAATTCCAGAGTGCCAGGGACTATCAGCCATCGCAGAGCACAGAGGAGTGAGCCACCCTTACCTCCTTATTTAACCTCCGTTAGGGGTTAGGGTCCAGGAGAGGAGGAATGTGTGCTGTGCACATACATACATAACACAACTGCATACACGAAGACACATCCCTCTTCCCATGACCTGAGAGAGTTGGGGGGAACTGTGGGAGAAAATTAGATGGAGGCGAACAACTGATTTATTTCTTTTCCACTTTCCCTCCATGTATGTTACAGGAAGTGGCCTGAGTCTTATTTAGATGGCTAGTGGAGAAGTACCCAAGATGGGGTGTTATGTAATTAGATACGTACTATACCTATAAAGTGATCAGGGAAGGGGGGCACCAGAGGTGGGGGAATCAGGAAAGGCATCATGTAGAAGGTGTTGCTTGATCTGGTCTTGAAGGAAGAAAGGAATACTATGAGTTGCAGATGAAAAGGGAGTAGATTGTAGGCATGAGAGAGGACAGGATGGCTGAATCATAGCATGCAGGAAAGGAAGGAATGTATAAGGAGGCTGCAGAGATCTGCTGGGGCCAGGTTGTAATGATTTTAAAAGCCAAAGAGAGGAGTTTATATTTGATTCTAGAGGCAGTTGGTTGACTGCTGTCCTTCATGCTCAAAGAGGACCAAAATGACATCATTATGTCAGGGTCAATGTGCAGTGTGTCTGACTGTGGCTGATCAGATCGATAGGAGCTCAGATGGCTCTGCCACAGGTCGGTCACAAATAGTCCACGTGAACATTTGGAGAGGAGATGTCTCTAAATTATCTGTCTCACGTTTCTTTTGAGCTACTTCAGCTCTGCTTTGCTCATAGAGCACAGTACCTTCTCTGATATGGGCACGCCACGCTGGGCAGTCCTGTGCCAGTGTCTCCCATGTCTCACAATTGATTCCAAAGTTCCTCAAAGAGACCTTGAGAGTGTCCTTGTATCGCTTCTTCTGACCCCTGTGTAAGCTTGCCTTGTGTCAGTTCTTCATAAAATAGTCTTTTAGGTAAATGTAAGTTTGGCATTCCATTTGGACGATGTGGCCAGCCCATCAGAGTTGCACTCTCTGCAGGAGAGTTTGAATGCTTGGCAGTCTAATTTGAGAAAGGACCTCAGTGTCTGGTATCTTGTCTTGCAGGTGATCTTCAGAATGTTCCTAAGACAATTCAAAGTGAAGTGATTCAGTTTCCTTGCATGGTGTTGGTAGACTGTCCAGGTTTCACAGGCATGCAACAATGAGTTCAGTGCAATGGCTCTGTAGACCTTCAGTTTGGTAGTCAGTCTAATAATGTCTCTTCTCTCCCACTCTTTCCTTCAGGGCCTTCCAAACACAGTCAACCTCATCATCTGTGTATATTCTGGGAAAATATATTGCCAAGGTAAGCAAACTTATCCACAGCATTCAAAATCTCTCCACTTGCTGTAACCAATGGTTCTACATATGGATGGTGTGGCACTGGCTTGTGGAGAACCTCTGTTTTCTTGGTATTAATTGTCAGGCCAAAATTAGAACAAGTGTCAGAGAACTGATTCATATTCTGTTGCATCTCAGCTTCAGAGGTTGCATTGAGTGCATAATCAATCATTTGTGAACAAAAAGTTGCATACCAACTCTCCCTCCACTTTAGTCTCGGCTTGTAGCCTTTTCAAGTTAAATAATTTACCATCAGTGCAGTAACTGATCTTAAAACCATTTTCATCCTCATTGAAGGCATCTGACAACATCGATGAGAGCAAGCACACATTCTAACTTTATTCCACTGGTGTCTAGGAAAGTGTGAGAGTATCGTCCATCGTTTATTGTCCAGAACCCATGCAAACATGCCTGAATTTATTCAGGCAACCACATTTTGCCATGATCTTCCAGGAGCCCTCATGACTGATAGTATCAAAGGCCTTGGTCAGATGGATGAACATTGTATACAGACCTCTGTTCTACTCCTGGCCTTCCTCCTGGCAGCAATCACCATAGTGACTATTCCTTGGCCCTTTCTGAAACTCTCAGGTAGAAGACCATCTTCTAGGTGAAGGATCAGCCTTTTAAGGAGGATTTGGGCAAGATGACTAAGAGAAATACCACCCCATCCCACCCCACCACCATCACCTTGATTGTCACAGGGTAACCTGTTTCCTTTTCCTTTAGAGGCAGTAGAGAGGCAAGGAAGTAGGAGAGTGACACGGTCAGATTTGTACTTACAGACACTGTTATTGTTTGTCCTTCATTCTCAAAGAGGACCAATGAGATCAGGAGGGGAATGTCTTGACTTGCAAATGAATTGGATTTGAGTGAGACAGAGCTGTGAAAAGTCATCAACCCCATTGTCATGACCCTCCAGAGTCATGGGAGTCCAGTGGCAAGACATAGGTCAGGATGACTGGTAATGGCCCAGGATGCAGTGGGAGACCTTGGCCTTTTTAAGCTAAGGTCTTTCCTAGATCTAAGTTTGTCTGAGGCAACATACATTCAGTGATTAAAGGCTAGCCAAGAATTGAGGCAAAAGATGGCCTAGTTTGACTTCCCAAAAAAAATCAGTCTGGGATGGGAAGACCCTCAGAGTTTCTGACCAGAACAGAAACAATTGCTATCTACACTCAAACCTATCAAAACCCAAACAATGAGCAATAGGTCTGGGACCTATTATTGGCCAATCAGAGAGAGCCAGAGCAATTCGGGTTTAAAAGCATTGTCAAGTAGCTACATTTGAATCCCAATGGGCTTTATCAAAGCTTGGTTTATCAGAGCTGTATTTCAAGAAATCATAAACGAGAACTATTTGAGACAAAGAGTTAATTGTCCCAGTTTTGGGGGGAGGGGAGCAAAAGCAAAAAATAATGATAGAATAAATAAATAGGGAAGGAAAAAATCTAGCCCCTAAAACCCAAGATATCTTATGAAGTATAAGTGATCAAAACCACGTGTAAGGACATGACTCCCCATGTGGACAGAGGAGAAGAAGAGGAAGGAGGGGAGGAGGAGGAAGAGGAGGAGAAGGAGGAGGAGGAAACAGCAGCGTTGCCCAACTGGAACTGGCCACTTGGGTCACCAGAGGGGCAGCTACTACCACTCACGGATTGTAATTCTTTCTGGAAGAGGACAGATCAGGAGGGTAATGTCTTCACTTGCAAGTGAATTGGATTTAGGTGAGGCAGATGTATGTGAAGTATGAATGAGAGAGAAGAAAGACTTGAATTAGAAGGCCGTTAGCATAGTCTTGGGTAGTGGTGATACAGGCCTGAACTATGATGGTGGCTGAGTGAATAGAGAAGAAGGATCAGATTTGGGAGATGTAGTAGGGAGAGCGTCAACAAAATTCGACAACTGGACATATGGGGGGAGGGAGAGTGAGGAGTCGAGAATAATGACAGTAAAGATCCCTTTAACAGAAATAGGAAGTCCACAGGAGAGGGTGGGTTTTAGGGAAGAAATAATGAGCTCTATTTTGAATATGTTGGGTTTGAAATTTCTCTGGGGCTTCCAGTCTGAAATGCCCAATGGGCATTTGGTGATATGGGACTGAAGGTCTGGGGAGACACTGGACCCAAGCAGGAGTCATCTCTATAAAAATAACAGGTAACCCAAAGGAGCTGATGAGTTCATTGAAGAAGAGAAAAGGGCCTGGCACAAAGTTTTGGGGAGTAATGGACTTAATTAGGGGGCATTTGAACTGGGCCAAAATAGCTGACATTTATAGAGCGCCTTCAGGTTTACAAAGCGTTTTATGTGTATTATCTGATTTGAGCCACATTCAATGCTATGTAAGAGATGCTACCGGTATCATTCTCCCAATGTTACAGATGAGGAAACTGAGGGTCAGAGAGATGAACTGACTTCCCTATGGTCAGTCCCATCACTGGTAAGTACCGACCCAGACCTTCCTGACTCCAGGTCCAGCCCTCTAGCTGCCTTGGCACGTTGCCAAAAGGTAAAAAGGGTAGCAGGCAGAGGGCACAGTGGGCATAAGGGGAAGGTGAATATGTGTGCTAGAGAGCCGTCCAGTTTAACTGTAGCCTAATGTGTGGAGGGATTTAATATAAGTCTGGAAAAAGCAGTGTGGTAGCAGATTCTGTAGGGCCTTGAATGCCAGGTAAAGAAATTTTAACTGCCTTGAGAGGTTGTTGGGGGGTTTGTGTGAGATTATATATGTAAAGTGCTATATAAGAGTAGCAGCCTGGTACAATGATTAGCTAACTGGCCTCACACTCAGGAAGATCCATGTTCTTGCCTCTGGTATATTTTGGCTGAGTGACTCTGGGGAAATGACTACCTCTCAGTGCCTCTAGCAATTCTTCAAGGCTCTAAGTTTCTGAGTGGGTGCAATCTGCACTGGTGGAGGGATTTCTTCACTAAGAGCTCCCTGAACTAGTGAAATGATTGGTCAAGTTAGGAAAAAAAAAGAACACTCGATAGGTTTCAAACATTGTTATTACTTATTGGTAGGCAATAGAGCTACTACAATGTTGTAAGCAGGGGAGCATCATGTTGGAATTCACTGAGAGATGCTGCCAGGAGTGTGAGGGCTTTCTTCCCTGACAGCAGTGTCACCCTCCCCTTTTTCCTCCTCCTCGTCTCACTGGGAGCAGCAGGAGCTGGGTTCAAGCTCGGCCTCTCCTTCTTGCCCACTGTGTGACACAGGGCAAGTGCCTTCTCCTCTCTGGGCTACTGCTTTTTTCATCTGTAAAGTGAGCGGGTTGGACCAGATGACCCTTGAGGTTCCTTCTAGCTTAAATCCATGGCCCTGTCATCTGCTTTCTTTTCCTCCGCCATCTCCTCCCTCCTCCTTTACTGAGAGGATCATTGCTCTGTTCCCATACAAGGAGCCAGGGATGCTTAGTCTAGGGAAGATTGGGGGAGCAGGGGATGGTGCCTGCCTTCAGGTACCTGCAGGGCTGTCTAGGGGGTGGAGTGGAGGCTGGCTTTATTCTGCTCGCTGCCTAGCGAGCAGAAGAGTGAGGACTGGAGACCGTAGAGAGGCACTTTCAGATTTGAGGGAAGGAAAAGCTTCCTAACCCTTAGAGCTAGCTAGAAGTGGACTGGGCTTCCTCGGAAGGGGAATGGCTGAACAAGGTGTGGTATATGAATGTAATGGAATACTACTGTGCTGTAAGAAATGATGAGGGCGTATTGTACAGGGGAAGAATAGGCAGCTGCCAAGGTCTCCTGCATTCTAAGACTGACACTTCTTCCACTTTCCGGCCTCCCACTGCCAACTCCATTACTGGAATCACTTTGAGTTGGCCCTCTGAAGCTTCCCTCCACCCGCATGCCCCAGAAGCTTGGGGGAACCCAGGAAGAATCTCCAATAGGACATGGACAGGAGTCACACGAGACAAGAAAGCAGGGATTAATCTATCTTTTAGCGCTAACAAGTGCCCACATGGATGAGAACATGGGACCATGTAAGTTATCTACTTGAATGGGCACAGTCCTGAGAGAGGCCACCAGGGGGAAGCAGTAAGTCAAGAATAGGCTCCTGCATATGAAGGGCTTCGGCAGAAGGATGCAGACAGGACTAGTTAGGAATAGTAGGTGGTCCAATCACAAGGCAAGAGGGATTTAAGCAAGCATTAGGAAGAACTTCTCAGTGCACAGGTTGATGGAGGGAGCAGCCCACCCCAAGGCACCTCCCTCCTCCGGCGGGCTCACGCACCTCTGCCTGGGAGGATGTAGGCTCTCCTGTCCTCTGCTATGGTCTCAGTTCTGCTCATACCTGAGCCCCCAGCCCTAGTAGAATGGATTGGAGTCCCAAGACCATATATGAATCTTTACTCTGCCTCACTATATGAATTTACCTCTCTAAATCTCATTTTCTTCATCTGTAAATGGATTAAGGATCCCCCAAAGTTCCTTCCAGATTAAATCTTCTGATCTCAGGGTGCAATGGAAAGAGTTCTGGATTTGCAGTAATCAAAGGACCTGGGTTCAAACGCTTGCTGTGTCATGTACTACCTATGCGACCTTGGGCAATTCACTGCAGCAGTCTGGGCTTCGGTCCAAAAATGAGGTGGTTAGATAACCATGATTGACCAGATGACTTCTAAGGTCTCTTCCTGCTTTAAATCTAAATCGGTGATCTTGGGTTCACGTGCAGGATAACCACAAGCAGCTTTGGTCCAAGAAGACTTCATTTAACTCAGTATCAAGCCAGTCTTGCCTTCGGTCACTTCATCCCTGCTGCCTGTTCGTTTCATGGAGCATTTTTTAAAATGATCATTTATTTATGTTCAACATTCATTTTTTAAAAAAAATTTGAGTTCTAAATTCTGTCCCTCCTTCCCCTCCCCCACCTACTAAAAAAGCAAGCAATGTGATATAAATTATACACGTGATATCATGCAAAACATGTTTCCATATTAGCCATGTTGCAAAAAAGGAAGAAAAATAAAGAAAGCAAAAAATTATACTTCAGTCTACACTCACAGAGTTCATCAGTTCTCTCTTTGGAGGTGGATAGCATTTTTCTTCATGAGTCCTTTGGAGTTGTCATGGATCATTGTATTGATCAGAGTAGCTAAGTCTTTCAAAGCTGATCATTGTTACAATATTGCTATTACTGTGGACAACGTTCTCCTAGTTCTGCTCACTTCACTTTGAGTGAGTTCATGCAAGTCTTCCCAGGTTTTTCTGAAACTTTACAACTCACCATTTCTTACAGCACAGTAGTATTCCATCACAATCGTATACCACAACTTGTTCAGCCATTCCCCAGTGATGGGCATCAGGTCAATGTCCATTTCTTTGCCACCACAAAAAGAGCTGCTGTGAATATTTTTGTACATATAGGTCCTTTTCCCTTTTTCTTTGATCTCTCTGGAATACAGACCTAGAGTTGGTATTGCAGAATCAAAGGGTATGCATAGCTTGATAACACTTTGGGCACACTTCCAAATCGCTCTTCACGGATCATTCTGAGTCATGTTGCCTAGTGACTCCAATTTAAGTCCCAGACAGTCAGTCCTCTGCCTGATTTCGTACTCTTCAGTTCCTCCTAGCCCTGTGTCTGGATCTCTGGGCCTTTTGCCTAAATCTAATGTCTAATCTTGCAGGGCCCCAGGAATCTATGCCACTTTCTGGCCATTCCAGCAAAGTAGACTCTACCTGCACTATCATCTGCCCTCCGGTGACTTGGAATCCTGCCCTGGTCCCTCAGCCCCAACAGGCTAACTTTTTGCTTGTCTTTCTTCATTCCAGGTCTCTAAGTCACTTCCTGTCTGCTCCGGGCCATGCCACTGCCCAATGACCCGTCTCTCCTCTCTCTCTTTTCCTGTTTCCCTCTATGTGTTGCCTTCCCCCACTAGAATGTAAGCTTCTTGAGGACAATGACTGTCTTGTTGTATTCCCATCACCAGTACTTAGCACTACGCCTTGCAAGAAGTAAACATTTAATAAATACCCTTTCTAACCCTCTATCTCTCAGACTTTCAAATTCCCACTCTCCCCCCTCTACTTGCCTCGATTCTTGACACCCTCAGACCTGCTACTGTTGCTTTCCTGACCCTAGCCTCTGGCTTGGCCTAGTTCGGAGCTCCTAGATGCCAAACCTGGCCAGTATCTTCTAAATCTGCCCCATCTATGCCTTCCTTTTCAGTCTGAGCTCCCTGGACCTTGAACGTGGCCCCTCTTCTCAGAATCTGTTTCCTGCCTGAACCACTCTTCCTTTTAATAATGATGACCAGGATACTGAGCCATTTTACTGTGACCTCACCTTTGACCTTCCCTGCTCTGCCTCTAGCCTCAAAGTGCTTCATGATCCTCTTTCTAATGCCATGATTTCTCTTACTATGAAAAATAATACACATACAGGCAGCATGGCATAGAGGAAAGGGTATTGGATTTGGAGTCTTAGGCCTGGGTTCAAAATCTGACTAATCCACTTACATACTGGCTAAGGGCTAATACTTAAGGAAAGGCCATTAAATACTGACTAAGCTCCTTACAAACTAGACTTTGAGACAGTTGTTTCACCTCCAGGGACTTTGGTTTCCCCTTCAATAACATGAAAGGGTTAGACCAGATGGTCTATAATTTACTGGTTTGCTCTAAATCCTGAGATCTTACATAATTGTTTAAGGATAACAAAATACTTTCCTCACAACAACCTTGCGAAATGGAGAAATAAGTGTTGTTATCTCAACCTTACAGATGAGGAAACTGAGGCTGGGTTACAGGATTTGTTTAGTTTCTCATAGTAAGTAATACAGTGAGGTCATTATTATAGTGGGAATAATTAATCCCTGGATGTGGTCTTCTGTATTTTAATTCACACTATCCACAATTATAATTATGTAAAATGTAGTGATGGGTTCTGGCCCAATGGAAATACACAGTGCAAATTTGAATGGGGATCACTTCAGGGGATTCCCTATTTTCACTAATCCATACTCCAGGAAATGCTCATGCAGATCTCTTAGCTCCAAGGTCCTTTCCCTGCTGCGTGTTGCCCATCTAAGATGCTGAACTCCTCAAAGGCCCAGATGTGCACCTGCACCCTGGTCCCAGCTCCTCCTCTCCCACTTGTTCTGTTTTGACCCAAGCCCTGCCTCTGACTTTTGATGAGCACATCTCTTCCTGAGACATGGTTAAGATAAGGATCATTTCTCTGTCTGTGAGGCTTGGAGGCTGGGGATTGGATAAGATGACTTCTCTCCTCATGCAGTGTTTGTTAGGGAGAGAATTTCCTCGGTGGCTGGGGATTGAACAAGATGACCTCTCTCCTCATGCAGCGTTTGTTAGGAAGAGAATTTCTGCCTGGCATTTCTGACCTTTAAACAATGTCCTCTCTCAGCATATGGGAACAGGGTGTGGTGCAGGTCTGCTTCCTATCAATGGAGCAGAGGCTCTGGGCTGCTTTGACTC